AGATCGTACTACTGACCTATTCACGTCTGCTGTGGATTGATTATTTTTTAAATGTAAGAGGATCAAAACATGTAAAAATGTTTTACAATGTTTTACTGCATATTCAATTATAACTTACCTCCTAGAAATACGGCAAGGTACAAATAACTCTCATAAATTCTCATCTCTCATGATGTTGTTGACGTAAGATCCACCAATAATACGTCATAAACTTGAGGTACGGTAGCGCATAAAAGACATTGAACGTAAGCAAAATATAGCGAGTTTTATTCGATAAAAAAATATTTTAAATTACAATATTTTGAAGTGGATTTTTCTCATTATGATTACTAACAGAACACCTTTGAACTGCTGTAAAAAAATTTTTTGTTGCAATTTGTTTAAGGTCAATACTTCTTCTTTACTGGACTACTAGAGCTTGGGAGCTCATGATTGCATGTATTGCATCGGATAATATCCTCGTGCTTATCTTGATAGTGCCGCATCATCTTCTTACGTGATGAATAGGACTTGTCAGAAAGCCTACAAGCCCACCTACAATCAACAAAACTAATTATTACAATTGACATATTTGATGAGTAATACAATATTGTATTTGAATTATTATGTTTGAAATTTCAAGAACCTATGTTTAATTTTTTATAATAGTATTTTTATTAATCCTTTCTTTAATAGCTTCAGTTTATCATAACGTCAAACACACACTATAACAACGTCAGCCTATCTATCAATTGCAAAATCGGTTAAAAATTCATTTATATAAAATTTTACTTACATTTTCAATCCTGTAGTTTTTTATTTTTGTTAAATTTTATTAATCAAGTGAAAACAGTTGGTTTCAAACAGTAATTACGCTTCATTTTACTATGATGCACAAAATACTGCGCAATGAAAAGTACAGTCGGCCCCGTTAACTTAATTCACAAATATTTTCTTTCAGTATTCTGTGTTGTATATTTTTTTCATGTCTCTTGTTTGAATTTCAGATAAACAATATCCGCTGTCATGATTTTTAGCTCTACTGGTCAGAGACCAGAAAAGCTTATGCGATAGTAATGCGTCCGGCGTCCGTCCGCCTGTCTGTCTGTCCGTCTGTCTGTAAACAATTTTTCAAAATGCTACTCCTCCTACAGTTTTGGTCTAATTTCAATATAACTTGGCACTAGGGCTGGGTATTGGCCCGAGATTTCGTTTTGCGATATATTGCGATATTTTAAACCGTATTGCGATATGTATTGCAATATTTTCAAGGTAATAAAAATGGCATTTTCGTACTAAATTTACTTTAACTACATGCAGAATGTACATAACTATGATAAGTAACCAACATGGAAAAAAATCTTTTTGATTTCAGTTAAGTTATGCTCTGAAATGTTCCAACAAAACAACTTCTGACTTACTGTTTGGCTTAATAACAAACTTTCATAAGTCCATTTTTATTTTTAATGACAAATTTCCTTAATCTAAGTATATTGCCAATATATCGATATTACAAAATCGTATTGCGATACGATATTCTTTGTCATTGTATTGCAATATATTGAAATATCGATATTATTGCCCAGCCCTACTTGGCACACAAGTAGACTACACTAAGATACATAATTCTGTGTATCGGTTTTTGATTTCGATAAACGGTGTTGCTGTGGTTACTAAAAATAGAAGTTTCTGGGAATTTTTTTCAAAATGCTTCTCCTCCTACAGTTTTGGTCTGATTTCAATATAACTTGGCACACAAGTAGACTACACTGAAATACATAATTCTGTGTATCGGTTTTTGATTTCGATAAACGGTGTTCCCGTGGTAACTGAAAATAGAAATTTCTGTGAAATTTCTTACAAAATGCTACTCCTCCTACAGTTTTGGTCTGATTTCAATATAACTTGGCAAACAAGTAGACTACACTAAGATACAAAATTATGTTTATCTTTTTTTGATTTCCGTGAACGGTGTTGTCGTGGTTACTAAAAATAGAAATTTCTGTAATGCTACTCCTCCTACAGTTTTGGTCTGATTTCAATATAACTTGGCACACAAGCAGACTACACTAAGAGCATAAAGAGACTTTATGAAGGATCATTATTCTATTTATTACTGTTGTAAAGTTTCAATTCCCAACTTTAGCAGTTTTCTCTTCCTTTGCTACAAGTACAAACCAGTAGAGCTTCAGTCTCGACAGAGACTTCTGGTTATACTCTAGAATCTACACTACCCTAAGGATGCTTCCACATAATTTTCAGTCCATTGGTTCTTGAGAAGAATATTTTTAAAGATTGTTCCTATATATTTCTATGTTCGATCCCCTATTGTGGCACCCCCAAGTTATACTCTACACTACTCAGGGATGCTTGCACATAAGTTTCAGCTTTTCTGGGACAGTGGTTCTTAAGAAGAGGATTTTTAAAGATTTTTCCTTTATATTAAATGTAAATCTTGAATCCCCTATTCTGGCCCCGCCCTACCCCTGGGGGTCATGATTTAGACAATTATATTGTACACTACACTAGGATGCCTGCACATAAGTTTCAGCTTTTCTGGCCCAGTGGTTCTTGAGAAGAAGATCTTTTAATGACCCCACTCTATTTTTGTCTTTTCTTGATTATCTCCCCTTTTCAGGGGACAAGGCCCTTCATTTTAGAAATTTAAACTCCCCTTTACCCAAGGATACTTTGTATCAAGTTTAGTTAAAATTGGCCCAGTGGTTCTTGAGAAGAAGTTGAAAATGTTAAAGGTTTACGGAACGGACAGACAGACAGACGGACATCGGGAGATCAGAAAAGCTCACTTGAGCTTTCAGCTCAGGTAAGCTAAAAAAAGAGAATAATATTGGTTCAGGTACAAGGCCCGGAACAGGTTCAGCATTTATTAATTTAAAAGGATATGATTCAGATTAGCTGCACCTTGGTTTAAATTTAGGCTGCTGATTTGTGTATACTTCAGTTTCTCTTCTATTTTCTCCTTTTCTGGAACCAAATTAAAACCAGAAGTCTCTGTCAAGACTGAAGCTCTACTGGTTTGTACTTATAATAAAGAAAGAGAAAAGTAGCAGTTGGGATATAAAACTTTACAAAAGCAATAAATAGAATAATGACAAATAACGATACACAGAATTATGTATCTTAGTGTAGTCTACTTGTGTGCCAAGTTATATTGAAATCAGACCAAAACTGTAGGAGGAGTAGCATTTAAATGTATTTCAAAGAAATTTCTTTTTTAAGTAACAACAGCAACACCGTTCATTGAAACAAAAACCTATATACAGAATTATGTATCTTAGTGTAGTCTACTTGTGTGCCAAGTTATATTGAAATCAGACCAAAACTGTACCAGGAGTAGCATTTTGAATGTTTTTCACAGAAATTTCAACTTTTAGTAACAAAAGCAACACCGTTCTTTAAAATTAAAAAAACCAATACAAAGAATTATGTATCTTAGTGTAGTCTACTTGTGTGTTATATTGAAATCAGACCAAAACTGTAGGAAGAGTAGCATTTTGAATGATTTTCACAAAAAAATCTATTTTTAGTAACAACGGCAACACCGTTCATCGAAATCAAAAACCGATATATAAAATTATGTATCTTTGTGTAGTCTACTTGTATGCCAAGTTATATTGAAATCAGATTAAAATTGTAGGAGGAGTAGCATTTTGAATGATTTTCACAAATTTTTCTATTTTTAGTAACAACGGCAACACCGTTCATCGAAATCAAAAACTGATACATAGAATTATGTATCTTAGTGTAGTCTACTTGTGTGCTAAGTTATATTGAAATCAGATTAAAACTGTAGGAGGAGTAGCATTTTGAATGATTTTCACAAATTTTTCTATTTTTAGTAACAACGGCAACACCGTTCATCGAAATCAAAAAGCGATACACAGAATTATGTACCTTAGTGTAGTCTACTTGTGTGCCAAGTTATATTGAAATCTGACCAAAACTGTAGGAGGAGTAGCATTTTGAATGATTTTCACAAAAAATTCTATTTTTAGTAACAACGGCAACACCGTTCATCGAAATCAAAAAGCGATACATAGAATTATGTATCTTAGTGTAGTCTACTTGTGTGCCAAGTTATATTGAAATCAGACCAAAACTGTAGGAGGAGTAGCATTTTGAAAAATTGTTTACAGACGGACAGACAGACAGACAGACGGACGGACGCATAACTATCACATAAGCTCTTCTGGTCTCTGACCAGTAGAGCTAAAAAACCGTAATAATCTCAACCCTTTAATCTATCATGCGGGTTGATCAAGCCAAAATTAAATTTATTATTACCAGGGATGTCAACAAATATTTGAATATTCATTCGATGAGTTGATATTTGACTGTAAATATATATATGATTCGACGAATTTTCGGTTTTAAAGTATGCAGTCATTTATTAGAGAGAAAAATGAGAAAAGTTTTATTTGAAATTGAATCAAGTTCGTACCGTTGACCAGGGATAAGATTTGATTTTAAAAAAATAAATAAAAGAAACTCCTGTCGGATTACTCTTAAAGTGTGAAGAGTGTAATAATTGTTGAATAAATTATTCTTTGAACAGTTAATTAGTGGCATAACAGTGCCAAGTACTTACAATCAGTTTGTATTGTTGTAAGGACAGTTTCACACAAAACACGTGGATCACTTGTTTATGTATACATCATTAAAATAATTATCAGGATATAAATTAGCTTAAATTAATTGATTTGATTTTTCTCCAGTAGATAATTATTAAACATGGTATAAATTTGTAGGAGTACTTAGTGTAGACTTTGGTATGACGATCAATTAATCTGGTACATACGAAAGCATCTTGTGAATACTATCCATTATTAAAAAAAAAATAACAACTTAATGTAGTAAAAACAGCATTCACTTTTATTTCTGCATACAAGAACTCATCGTCTCAAGCCAGGGTCCGGAGTCCGCATATGTAGCTCTCTCCAGAATGGGAGGGGATCGAACACTTTGACCGTGGTTTGCGACGATGACAAGAACTGAGTGGAATGGAAACGCAGCTTACTGAGGTTGATACCTCTTTATTATTTTTCTACCATGGTATGGTAGATGACGGTCAATATGATGTGATTTTTGCCATTGAATTTTTGGATTTTTTAACAAGGTAAGTCAAGTCATCAATTTTCTTGATTACTACTTATGGCCCTTTCTTTCTGGTAGATAATTTGTATCTCCCTTTTTCTTTGTAGTGTCATGGAGCCAAACAGTTAGTCCTTCTTTGTAACGTTTTTTTTTTAGATTTAACATCGTACTGTTTCTTTTGGTATATTGCACTTGGCTTAAATTTTCTCTCCCGAGATCATATATTTGACAAAGCTTCTTTTCAGTTTTGTGATGTAATTTTCTTCATATGAACATTTGTTACTTCCAGGTACAGGTTGTCTTAAAACAGCTCTCATAGGAATGGTTATCTCCCTTCCCAGCATCATGGCATTTGGTGTCTGTCCAGTACTAGACTGTACAGAGGCTCGGTAAGCCATAACAACTTGGGGCAAAACTGGTCCCATTGATCTTGGTTCTTAATTATTACAGTATATAGAAAGCATGTCACCTAATGTTCGGTTAAATCTTTCTACATTCCCGTTTGATTGAGGGTGATAACTACATGTAGTTGTTTGAGTCTTGTCAATTTGCAACAGATCATACATTTCTTGAAAAACATTGGATTCAGTGTTCCGACCCTGATCGGAATGGATTTTTAATGGAGTGCCGAAACGAAAAATAAAAGTATCTACAAAAGCCTTTGCGACAGTATTTGCTTCTTGATTAGGAAAAGCTACAGCTTCCGTCCATTTTGAAAAAAAAATCCAGTCAATCATAACTAGTTGCTTGGACCCTTAGTTTCACGCAGTCAATATATAAGCGAGGTAAAACCGGATACTATGGGCAAACGACAGGTTACGCATGCGCGAGAATGTTAGAGAGTTCGCCCCTTAGGCAACTTGCCCGTAGAATAATTCGAATATTAAAATGTAACATTCATTGGCAAATCGCGCTTTTAAATCCGACTATCGTCTTTATTTATTCATTGGAGGATCCGAATTTCTCTCTTAAACATATACTTTTATATACAAACTAATATTGATTCTATGGCACAGCAGTTTAAAAAGTAGGAAGAACTTGCAGTACATAGATACAAGTAACTTAACAACTTGAATAAACAAGCAAATTCAAAGAATTGTGGTCGCCCGCTTTCGGTGTCTTTGGAGGTGAGATGTCATTTTTTTATGACATATTGTCTCAAATATGAACGCCCTATCATATGTAATCTAGAAATTATCACTGAAGTAGGATTTTTTTTTTTGAAAAATAAGGTCAATCGTGAAGGTCAGGGTCAATGGGTCACAAATCATAGCATAAAAAGATAAAAACCAAGGTCAAGGTCAAAGGGTCGAAGTTCTTTGTAACCTATGAAAGGTCTTCTCACAAGGATTACATATGTGAAGTATGAAAGCCCTATCCCTTTCTGTTCAAAAGTTATGGCCAAGTTTAAAGTTTTTCACAAGTACAAAAATCTCCAAGGTCAAGGTTAATAGGTCAAGGTTGTTGGTATCCAGTGAAAGGCCTTGCCACAACAAATATATGTGAAAGTCCTATAGTCTACTGTTCAAAAGTTATGGCCAAGGTCATCGTTTTTAAAAAGGTCAAACTCCAAAGTCAAGGTCAAAGGGTCAATGTTCTCGATATCCATTGAAAGGTCGTGTCACAAGGATTACATATGTGAAGTATAACAGCCCTCGTTTTAACCCTTTAAAAGTTATGGTCAAGGTTTGTTTTTAGAAGTAGGTCAAACTCCAAATTCAAGGTCATAGGGTCAAAGTTTTTGGTATCCTATAAAAGATCTTTTCACAAGGATAACATATATGAAGTATGAAAGCCCTAACCTTAACTGTTCAAAGATTATGGCCAAGGTTAAAGTTTTTTGTATAAGTACGGAAATCTCCAAGGTCAAAAGGTCAAACTTGTTGGTATCCAATGGAAGGCCTTGCCACAAAAAATACATATGTGAAATATAAATGCCCTAGTCCTTACCGTTCAAAAGTTATGGCTAAAGTAAAAGTTAGTAAAAGTGGGACAAAATCCAAGGTCAAGGTCGAAAGGTCAAATTTGGTGGTACCCAAAGAAAGGTCTTTTCACAAGGGATAAACATGTGAATTATGAAAGCCATAGCTACTCTCAATCAAAAGTTATGGGCAAGGTTAAAGTTTTTGTGACGGACAGACTGACAGACGAATGAGATTTAATGTCCCCTCGCATTCGCGAAAGCGGGGGACAAAAACGTCATTCAACGACTAGTAAGCTAGAACAATTTTCAACGGCATTAGTTTTGTGCATCAATGCTCGCAAAATAATCTGATATTTCAGCAATCCAAATGCTGTTTGATAGAGGTCTGTAGCAGCGGTTTTAAGGGGGGGGGGGGGGGGCTCCGACAACAAAAATTCTGCGTACTACAGAGCTATGCTACACGTGTACCATCAGATTTATTTTTCCCATATTTCTTCCGTATAAATCTAGAACGGGTGTCAAGCCCCAGCCATTATGGGTTACATGTATCAAAATACTTAAAAAGCCCGATTTTTTAAACTTACAAAACTAAAGGCTAATCGGAGATAAAATTTAACAATTTTGCTTTGAGACTACAATCAGTCATAAGTAGGCAGATCATTGTAGAAAATGTGAACAAACCTATGTGAATATTCACTATACCTACAAATTTTCTTAAAGTGAATTTCGGTTAGAAACACATGCATATGGTCCTCGTATTGCAGTCCTTTTTTTCTTGAAGGATAGTAACTTGTATGTATTTATTTCCTTGTTTGGTTACAGAACCAAGAATATATACAGCCACTCTCTCCATTGGTTTCCTACATGATAAGATCCCAGTTTGGCATGGTTTTTCATCTTCGATTGTTTGCGGGATGCGCAGTGGTCACAAGAATAGCAATCATCATGAACATAGTCTTTCACAGAATGCCTTGTTTTATTCTTTCTAGTCTTTTCTCAACCTCAAGATGTCCCGCAGAAGATGCATCGTGATAATGGTGAAGTACGTGTTTTTGCAGTCATTCTGAAACAACAAGTTGGTCTGTAGAGGAGATACTGTCATCATCTTCCCATCTACGATATCTAACATTATCCGTAACTTATCCCAGTGACGCCACAAGGTCTTCAAAACTTCAGACTGGTTAGAAATAGATTTCCAGGGGGGTCTGTCACCATCTTCCATGGCTATTAAAATTGGACCTATATTGTAATCCTCTAGCTGTTTTTGCCTAAGAGTGTTTGGCTTCCACCCTTTTAATAGAAATTGAACCTCCCAAAAATCTGTATATGGATACTGTGAAATCACTTATTTTCGTGGGGGTTTAATTTTCGTTGTTTTCGAGGTATGAAGAGACCCACGAATTTATATCCACCACGAAATGTCAATTTTCATGTGCACAACTACTACAAAGTTCTTCATCCACGAAATCAAATCCCCACGAACCAACATTTTTTCCTCAAACCACGAAAATTTGACCCCACGAAAATATGTGATTTTACAGTAGTTTCTTTTTAGCTCTACTGGTCAAAGACCAGAAGAGCTTATGCGATAGTAATGCGTCCGACGTCCGTCCGTCTGTCTGTCTTTAAACAGTTTTTCAAAATTGTTTAAAGACAGACAAAATGCTACTCCTCCTACAGTTTTTGATCTGATTTTAGTATAACTTGGCACACACAAGTAGACTACACTAAGATACATAATTATCGGTTTTTGATTTGGATGAACGGTGTTGCCATGGTTGCTACAATAGAAATTTCTTTGAAATTCTTTCAAAATGCTACTCCTCCTACAGTTTTGGTCTGATTTCAATATAACTTGGCACACAAGTAGACTACACAAAGATACATAATTCTACAAATAGGTTTTTGACTTCAATGAACATTATCGCCTTGGTTAATAACAAGAGGCCCATAGGCCTTATAGGTCACCTGAGCATCATGCAACAACTTTTCAACGATTGAATTTGGTTTATGTTTTAAACTAGATGTCATGGCATTCACAACTTTGAAAGAGGCACCATTGCTTATCATAACTATACACTTAGCATGCTTACTTTGGTTACTTAATACCCATAGACAGACTAGGGGAACAAAAAAATCTATTTTCAGTAGTGCCACTACCACACATGAACCCCTGACTCTTCACAATTTTGGAAAAGGCACCCTTACTTATCAAGGAGCGGATTTCAATCAATTAATTCATTTTCAGTATATAAGTAGAGCCCCCCCCCCCCATGGTACCCTTGACCCAGGGGCCTTGAAATTCACAATTCAGGCAGAATGGCCGTTGCTCATCATAGTTATGTTGGTAGTTCATCTGCTTCATACCAAGGAGCAGAGAAGAAGATTTTCAAAGAATTTCTGCATTTTCTCTATATAACCAACAGAGACCCACCCTAACACCAGAACCCCTGAGCCATGAAATTCAAAAAATGGGAAGAAGCATCCTTCCTCATCATAACTATGTACTTAGTTAGTTTATTTAATATCCAGGAGCAGAGAAGAAGATTTTCAAAGATGTAGTGTATTTTCACTATATAATCAATAGAGCCCCGCCCTAACACCAGAACCCCTGACCCTGGGGCCATAAAATTCACAATTTTGAAAGAGGCATTCTTCCTCATCATAACTATGTACTTAGTTAGTTTAATACCCAGGAGCAGAGCAGAAGATTTTTAAAGAAATAATGCATTTTCACTATATAATCAATAGATACCCGCCCTAACACCACAACCCCTGACCCTTGGGCCATAAATTAACAATTTTGGAAGAGGCATTCTTCCTCATCATAACTATATACTTAGTTTGTTTAATACGCAGGAGCAGAGAAGAAGATTTTTAAAGAAATAATGCATTTTCACTATATAATCAATAGAGCACCCACTAACACTTGAACCCCTGAACCTAAAATTCACAATTTTTAAAGAGGCATTCTTCCTCATCATAACTATATACTTAGTTTGTTTAATACCCTGGAGCATAGAAGAAGATTCTCAAAAAATTTCTGCATTTTCTCTATATAATCATTATAGAGCCCCGCCCTTACACCTGAACCCCTGACCCTGGGGCCATAAAATTCAACATTTTGGAAGAGGAATTCTTCCTCATCATAACTTTATACTTAGTTTGTTTAATACCCAGGAGCAGAGAAGAAGATTTTTAAAGAAATAATGCATTTTCACTATATAATCAATAAATCCCCGCCCTTATACCAGAACCCCTGACCCTGGGGCCATAAATTAACAATTTTGGAAAAGGCATTCTTCCTCATCATAACTATATACTTAGTTTGTTTAATACCCAGGAGCAGAGAAGAAGTTTTTTAAAGAAATAATGCATTTTCACTATATAATCAATAGAGCACTCACTAACACCTGAACCCCTGACCCTGGGGCCATAAAATTCACAATTTTGAAAGAGGCATTCTTCCTCATCATAACTATATACTTAGTTAGTTTGTTTAATACCCAGGAGCAGAGAAGAAGATTCTCAAGAAATTTCTGCATTTTCTCTAAATAATCATTATAGAGCCCCGCCCTAACACCTGAACCCCTGACACTGGGGCCATAAAATTCAACATTTTGGAAGAGGAATTCTTCCTCATCATAACTATATACTTAGTTAGTTAGTTTAAAACCCAGGAGCAGAGAAGATTTTTAAAGAAATAATGCATTTTCACCTAACACCAGAACCCCTGAGCCTGGGGTCATAAAATTCACAATTTTAGAAGAGGCATTCTTCCTCATCATAACTATATACTTTTTAGTTTGTTTGATACCCAGGAGCAGAGAAGAAGATTTTCAAAGAATTTCTGCATTTTCTCTATATAATCATAATAGAGCCCCGCCCTAATACCTGAATCCCCTATCCTGGGGCCATAAAATTCACAATTTTGGAAGAGGCATACTTTTTCATCATAACTATGTACCTAGTTAGTTTATTTAAAACCCAATAAATCCCCGCCCTTATACCAGAACCCCTGACCCTGGGGCCATAAATTAACAATTTTGGAAAAGGCATTCTTCCTCATCATAACTATATACTTAGTTTGTTTAATACCCAGGAGCAGAGAAGAAGTTTTTTAAAGAAATAATGCATTTTCACTATATAATCAATAGAGCACTCACTAACACCTGAACCCCTGACCCTGGGGCCATAAAATTCACAATTTTGAAAGAGGCATTCTTCCTCATCATAACTATATACTTAGTTAGTTTGTTTAATACCCAGGAGCAGAGAAGAAGATTCTCAAGAAATTTCTGCATTTTCTCTAAATAATCATTATAGAGCCCCGCCCTAACACCTGAACCCCTGACACTGGGGCCATAAAATTCAACATTTTGGAAGAGGAATTCTTCTTCATCATAACTATGTGCTTAGTTAGTTTAGTTTAAAACCCAGGAGCAGAGAAGATTTTTAAAGAAATAATGCATTTTCACCTAACACCAGAACCCCTGAGCCTGGGGTCATAAAATTCACAATTTTAGAAGAGGCATTCTTCCTCATCATAACTATATACTTTTTAGTTTGTTTGATACCCAGGAGCAGAGAAGAAGATTTTCAAAGAATTTCTGCATTTTCTCTATATAATCATAATAGAGCCCCGCCCTAATACCTGAATCCCCTATCCTGGGGCCATAAAATTCACAATTTTGGAAGAGGCATACTTTTTCATCATAACTATGTACCTAGTTAGTTTATTTAAAACCCAGGAGCAGAGAAGGAGATTTTTAAAGAAATAGTGCATTTGCACTATATAATCAATAGAGCCACGCCATAGCACTAGAACCTCTGGCCCTGGGGCCATGTATTTCACAATTTTGGTAGAGGACTCAATGGTCATTACATTTCATGCTAACAGTTTGACTGCTTGATGTCCAGGAGTAAAGAAGATTTTTAAAGATTGCATTAATTTTAGTGGTTTTTGCCCCAACCCTCAGGCCCTAGGGGGGCAGGGACCATGAAATTCACAATTTTTGTTTCCCTTAACCTATAAATGCTTTATGCCAAAATTTGGTGGAAATCAGTTGAGTAGTTGCAGAGAAGAAGCTAAAAATGTTTAAATGTTAACACATGACGCACGACGACGGACGAAAACAGATAGCAATAGGTCACCTGAGTTTACTCAGGTGACCTAAAAATAGAAATTTCTGTTAAATGCTCTCAAAATGCTACTCCAACTACAGTTTTAGTCTGATTTTAATTTAATGTGGTATGCAAGTAGACTACACTAAGAACATAAGAGACTTAATCAGGATCATCATTCTATTTATTGCAGTGGTAAAGTTTCAATTCCCAACTTTTCTCTGTAGTCCTTGGTAGAAGTACTATCCAGTAGAGCTTCAGTCTCGACAGATACTTCTTGTTGTTTTCCCCTAGTAGAATTTCTGACAGTATCATCTGTTAATTGTTCAAGTAGTATTTCTTGTTCCTGTTCATTGTCCTGCCTGACACAAACTTTGCAGGGGTTCCTTGAACTGGCGTCAGCATTCGTATGTTTTCTACCAGGTCTGTGGGTGACTGTTAGATCATAGTTCTCAAGTTCTTGCAACCACCTAGCCTTTTGTCCTGTGGGATTCTTTAGATTCCTTACCCAACTCACAGCAGAGTTGTCAGTGCGGATAAGCACTTTTTGACCATACAAGTAAGAATGGAAATGTTTCAGGGCATTGACAACAGTAAGGGCGAAACGATTACACGTGTAAACGGCGACGTTTCGATTAAATGCTCTAAACGTTTACGAATTGAGTAAACGTTTACACGAAGGTCATAATCAATGTCTACCAGAAATAAAATTTGACACAAACAAGTTGTTTTATTTTATATTTACCAAAGAAAACACAGTCTGTCTGTTACAAATTTACTTACGAACAATTGTTTTCTGTTTTAATCGATACCGGAAACAATATTTCACAAAACTATTTAAAACCCAATGCGGTCTAACGTTTTTAATTCCGATTTCCCAGTAGCGAAAACTAGCAGTATATTATTTTATTTTTCCAAGCATATGTTTTAAAATAAATAACATTTAATGCTGCGTTTTATTGCTAAGAAAATACAAATTGTCATGCTTATAACGGTAAATTGTTGAATATAGAGCTTTAAAATATTGAACGTAAACCGGATCCATCATTGTTATCGTGTAATTTTTTTTATTAGTATATCAAAGTTGTTGACGCCAGAAAATTAAAAAAAAATGACTGATGAAGGTCAAAAAAGGAGTGAGGTATGGAAATATTTTACTGTTATTGAAAATAATGGTAAAAAGAAGGTTAAATGCAATCTTTGTGCCATTGAACTGTCTTATGCAGGGGGAAGCACAGGCACTATGATGAACCACATTAAATTCAAGCATAAATCGACTAACTTAAGCAAACCAGTCGCCCAGCAGTTAAAACAAGCACCGATAACTGCTTTCAGATCTCCTCTTCTATCAGTCACAAGAGAGAAATATCAGAAAATTACACAAAAACTAGCATTAATGTGTGCACGTGATCTACGACCATTGAGTATTGTAGAGGGGAGAGGGTTTCAGGAATTCTGCACAGAGCTGAATCCGCAATTTAAAGTTCCATCCCGCACAACCGTTTCAAATTATGTCACTCTCCAATACAATGATGCTGTTCAAAATTTAAAAGACGTCATTAAAAACCAAATTGCTGTTGCGTTTACGTCTGATCACTGGACTAGTCTGGCGACAGAAGGTTACATAACAATGACGGCTCATTTTGTTGATGACCAATGGAACTATCGTAACTCGGTTCTAGCTACAAGAAAAGTTACAGAGCGACACACAGGAGAAAATACGGCAAATGAAATCCGTTCAATTTCAAATGAGTTTGGAGTTAACAACACACAGATATGTGCTATAGTGACGGATAATGCTTCGAATATGGTGTCCTGTGTTGAGCATCTTCGGTGGGAACACATTCGATGCTTTGCTCACACATTGCAGTTAGCAATTCGCGGTGGGTTCGATAATGCGAGTTCTCTATCGAAAACAATTGCTGCAACAAAGAAACTTGTTTCTCATTTTAGAAAATCGGTTATTGCTACTAACGAATTGCATGTTCGACAGAAACAAATGTCCCTCCCTGAGAACAATTTGATCATTGACTGTCCTACGCGTTGGAATAGTACATTTGATATGTTTGAGCGTCTGCAGGAGCAACGTATGGCTGTGTATGCTGTTCTGCATGATAAAAAAGTTACCAAAGAAAATGACGCCAGAATTCTCGACTTAAGTGATGGACAGTGGTTAATTTTGGAAGGAATGATAACAGTGCTGCGGCCATTTTATATGGCGACAAGAGTGATGTGCAGCGAGGAGTACCCAAATGTAAGTGGTGTATATCCAATACTTTACAGCCTACTCAACAAACACCTAACTTCCACGGACTCGGATTGCGTTGCCGTGGCCTCATTTAAGAGACACGTAAAGTCTGATTTGGAAAGCAGATTTTCAATTGGTTCTGAAGTTGAAAGCGTTCCGATGCTTTGCTCATTCTTGGATCCACGGTACAAATCCCTCCCCTTTTTGTCTGAGGAGAAGAGAACTGTTGTGCAGGAAGCAATCAAATCCTATTTTCAGCGTGACACAACTGATATTCTACCCAATGAACCAGCTGCTGAAAAATCCTGTTCGGATTTACAGAATAATTCACAAGAATATGAACCAACGACCAAGCGTGGGCGTATTAATCAGGATGATATGTCGTACTTGCTTGGAGAATACTATGAAACTGATTGTGAAATTGTTGCCCCGGCAACAATTGAAGATGAAATCAAGTTATATGTGTCGGAAAAAATTGTAAATAGGAAATCCAACCCTTTTATTTGGTGGAAGAAAAATACTGAAACCTACAAGAAGCTATCTATGTTAGCCCGGAAATTACTCTGCATTCCTGCGACCTCGGTTTCCTCAGAGCGCGTATTTTCTACCGCCGGGGGCACAGTTACCAAGCTGCGAGCATCGCTTGACTCGGACTCGGTCGACAAGCTTGTTTTCTTGAATAAGCAGTTGAAACAAGAGGAAAAAATTGCAATTGCAGTAGCTCAGGAAACTTTATCATCTACTCCCGGTCCCGAGATTATTCAGGTGAAACAGGAACCAAAGTCCCCTCCTCGGCCAAATCAAGAAACACCCGAAACAGGAATGCCTTCACTGCCAACACTCCCCATATTTGATGACTGACAGTTTTAACTTTGAACTTTCGCGATGATTGATGTTACTATTGCAAGTTTGTTCAATTATTTTGTATGTGGTTTGACTTTTGAGTTTTGAAAAGTAAAATTTAATTGAGTTTGATTAAATAAATAAATACGTTTTCACAAGTCTTTCAAGTGTTTTGCTACAATCAGCAGATCGTGGTATACTTAATTCGGGATTAAAAGGTCTGTCTTTGCAGGTTTGATTTTACAATGCTCTTTTTGTATCCGGTATGTAGCCAAGCAAACCACTAATGCAATGTTACGTGACGGTGTATAAATGTATTAGTTTAATGGGCTTCATACCCTTCTGCTCTAAAAAAAGGTACATAAATAGTAATAACAACACATACTTAAATGAAAGTGAAAAAATGGTTTATTAAGAAAGTGTTTCAGTGGTAAATAGCCATAAAAATTCAACACAAAAAATTCTTCCGTTTAAACGGTGCCGTTTCGATTACTGCTGTTCGTTTAAACGTTTACAAAATTCAGTAAACGTTTCACCCTTAGACAACAGCTAATAATTCTTTTCTGGTTGTGCAATAGGATTGTTCATACTTATTCGTACAGCTTTAGTCATGTAGGCAAGACGTGTTCTCCATCATCTTGCAGTTGAGATAGAACATCACCTGTTGCACGGTCATAGTGATTTTTAGGGAAAGAATTCCAAGACATATCACAATTGCAAGAAAGCATTCATTTTGCAAAGCACAAAGCATGAAATTCTGGATATGATTTAAAGATGTTTTTTATAGAAGAAAAATATTGCAAAATGTTTTTCTTTAGATAAAATGTTCTTGCAGAATTAAAAAAAAACACAGTATTGAATCTAGGGCTCGGTACCTTATGATCGTAATTTTTGAAATGTTGAGAGTATCTTTAATGTAGGTGGATGTGAGCAGAGGATCTCCAGAGCCATCTTTATGGAAAAGTTAAGAAACTAAACAAGGAGAGACGTGTTTGATTCAGACTAGGAAGAAGAATTTATGTTTCTCTATGTTTGCATATTTCCTTAAGAAAGACATCTGAGAATTGGAGAAGGGGATGAACTGGCCCAATCTAAAGAATGAAATGTGTCGTTATTTACACTGGTTCCAAGAATTTTGTTAACTTTTTCTTCCGTGGCACTCCTGTCCATCATAAAATTTGAATTCTTTTTTTTCATTTGACCTTTATTACAACTAACAGAATTATTTAGAATTTCGTTGGTGAAATCGACAAACGTGGAGCTTTTGGAATCGGCTGCTTCTTTTAAACCCAATGTGAGCTCTTTTTCAGTGGTTGATACTTCCACACCGTAAAAGTGTCTTCCATTTTTTTTTTGTTGTATCTCGATGCAACATTAAATTTGACTGCTGCTCTATATCCTCTGCAACTTGAGCACGTCTCAAAATACCAAGTTCACTCGTCATATTTGAAATTGTACTTTACTAAAGGAAAAGAAAAAATTTGAACATCTACTAAAGGGAGGACTTCTTGAATAAATTGCTTTACGAGTAAACTCAGGTGACCTATTGCTGTTTGTTTTCGTCCGTCGTCGTGCGTTAACATTTTAACATTTTCAGCTTCTTCTCTGCAACCACTCAAATTCAACCAAATTTAGCATAAAGCATCTGTGGATGATGGTAAAGAAAAATTGTGAATTTCATGGTCCCTGCCCATTTCGGGCCTGAGGGATGCGGCCAAACCACAAAAATTAATGCAATCTTTAAAAATCTTCTACTTTACTCCTGGACAACAAGCAGTCAAACTGTTTGCATGACTGTATTTAGCATTAAGTCCTCTACTAAAATTGTGGAATTCATGGCCCTGGGGGTCAGGGGTTCTAGTGCTAGGGCGGTGATAAATAGATTATATAGTGAAAATGCATTATTTCTCTGAATATCTTCTCTGCTCCTGTGCATTAAATAAACTAAATAAATACATAACTGTGTTGAATGAGGCTGCCTCTTCCAAAATTATTAATTTCATGGCCCAAGGGTCAGGGGTATTTAGGTGCTAGGGCGGGGCTATATAGATTATATAGTGAAAATGCATTATTTTTTGAAAATCTTCTTCTTTGCTCCTGGGTGTTTAATAAACAAACCAAATACATAGTTATGTTGAATAAGGCTGCCTCTTCCAAAATTTTGAATTTCATGGCCCGGGGGGCAGGGATTCCGGTGTTGGGGCGGAGCTCTATTAATTATATTGTAAAAATGCATAAATTCTTTAAAAATCTTCTCTGCTTTTTGGTATTAAACAAACTAACCAAGTACATAGTTATGTTGAATAAGAGTGCCTCTTCAAAATTGTAAATTTCATGGCCTCAGGGTCAGGGGTTCATGGGTTAGGGTGGGACTCTATTAATTATATAGTGAAAATACATTCTTTTAAAATCTTCTCTACTCCTGAGTATTAAACCAATGAATTATGTACAAAGTTATGATGAGAAAGGATGCCTCTTCCAGATTTGTGAATTTCAGGGCCCCAGGGTCAGGGGTTTTGGTGTTGGGTGATGCTCCAATGATTATATAGTTAAAATGCATGAATTCTTCGAAAAACTTTTTTCTTTGCTCTTGGTATTATGCTAATGTTCTAAGTACATATTAATGATGATGAAAGGTGCCTCTTCCAAACTGATTAATTTCAGGGCCCCTGGGTCAGGGTATTGGGGGTGGGGGGTTACATAGTCTGAAAATAAATTTTTGCTTTGAAATCTGCCTTTTGGTATTAATCAACCATTTCTGATGAAATAAAGTTTATGATAAATTTCCAGGATTTTGAAATATGTGCCCGCAGGGTCAGTGTTTCCTGTGGGGTGGAGTGTACAACTGGTTATAAAGTGAAAATGCATTTTTCTTAGTTACTCTGATCTACCTCTAGGCATTAAGTAACCAAAGTAAGCAAGCTAAGTGTATAAAGTTAAGATAAGCAATAACGCCTCTTTCAAAATTTTGAATTTTATGGCCTTTGAATTAAAACAAACCAATTCAGTTGTTGGAAAGTGTTACTTAATACTCAGGTGACCTATAAGGCCCATGGGCCTCTTGTTTGGTTTTATCATTTTTTGAGTTTATAAAGGAGATTTGATCCTGCAAAGTTTCTACATTTTTTGTGATATATGAAAGAAACGTTATTCCTATATATATTTTCTTAGAACCATTCTTAGGTAAGCTTGGACTTTCAGTAAGGCGTGATATATTCTCGGCGCTACGTAAGTAGCGTCTGTCAAAAGGCGAATAGATTCTCACTGGTTAAGAAATTAATAAAATCAGGAACTTTTAATTGTTGTTGACAACGATGAGACGACTTAAGGTCCACATCTTTGCCGGACGAGACAATGTTATTTGTAATTCGATAAACTAATTGGCATTTATTTTTCAACAGTGAGGGAAAGCTGTGTAAATTTCAGAACTAATGTACTGTTGAGAATGCCACGCCTTACTGAACGTCCAAGCTAAACTGGGAATTGTCCTGTATTCATATATTGGATGGAACATTAATATATACACACGTCAAATTCAAGTAAAACCGTGCTTTCTAGCGTATCTGAGGTGGATTGAAAATGCATTTCATATAATGAAGGATATGGAGTTAACGAACAGTATTCAATAAGAATTTCAATCCAATGTTTTCTCGGGCGTCCGTGTCGAATAGTACCCGCCCATGTAATTGTCTATTATTAAATGTGTTGACTGTATAACTGATGGAAATTATGGAAGCAGCATATTTTCAATGCTCCGCGGACTTATTTACAAGCCAGAGATTATAAACAACAGAAAAAATATTCGAAGCATCCTCTGAAAAAATGAGACATTATGCACACCCTTCTTAGGAAGAGTATGGTTATTTGAAATGCAATTTCAATTTCTTATTTTTGAAAACATTTAATTTTATAGGACTGGGATTTATAAACATTAACAAAATTCGAAGTTGCCATTTTGATAAGAATACTCTCTGGAAAAATGAGCCATTAGTGCAAACCAATCTTTGAGGAGGTAACATCAGAGTGTGTTATACATGTATACCAGGTATGATTGTATGAAATGTAATTATTTAATTTTTTATTTATAAATAAAAAGTTTGTTTCTTCATACTAAATCCTCCTTCTCCCCGTGTATTCCTTTGCGTTTAGTATGTACCTGGTACTACACAACCATCTCTAATTCTACATCTTTTACATGCGCACCGTCTTCTACATCCAATTCCACTTATTCTGCAATCTACATGTACATTATCCAACTGCACCTCCGTGTGTACAGATTACCTATCCCAATCAATCTCTTTATACCCCCGCTTGAAAATCGGGAGGATATATAGAAATTGCTATGTCCGTCCGTCTGTTACGGTTTGGGGTACCCATCTCTTATCCGCAACTCCTCTCAAACCACTGAATGAAATTTGATGAATCTTTATTACATATTGCCATTGTGCACCTTCTATTTTACTTTTTCGATCCGACACATGTTTTGGGTTTCCAACAACAAAACATCTTCTATTAAAATTACTTTTTGATCCGCGCCATACACTCTGCGTAAGAGTGTTTCCCACAACAAAACATGGACACTACCATTATATTCATACTTGAGGCGGGGGTATCATTTAATGAGTTCATTGCTCACAGTACCTCTGGTTTTATATGTAATGCTACAGGAGTATCCGACGATGTCTTTCCACCTCCCCTCCACCTTCTCCCCCATCTAAATCTTCAAGTACCAAAATAACAGTAAATTCTGCTTTCAAATATCCCTCTTCACCTTAGCGTTTAGGTGTTTTTTGTTGATCTCCTCTCCTTCTTCATTTTGATAGACTTACTATTACATTCGATGGCTGACTTTTACATTTTAGTAATTGGAGTTTGCCTCTGTTCAAATTGTTAAAGTCAGTCGTCGATTGTAAAAGTAAGTCTCTTCATAAAAATCCAAAAGTAAACGACGGATATTACCTATACCATATCAGCCAGACCATCTGCATGCAAAACCAGCAGTGAAATCACAAAATCGT